AGGTTTCAAATTCGTCACCAAGCTGTTCAACTGTTGAAGACGCACAAAGCAAAACTTTTTTCCCCCTTTTTTCTTTCAGAAGAGAGAAAAGACGTTCGTTTTCTATGTGTGTGTGAACCTGCTTTGCGTATATTTTCTTGCTTTTTTTTCAACATAATTTACAGTTTCAGTTTTAGGAAAAGTTTTACGGCACTTGCAACACAATAAGGTCATACAAGTGTTGAAGATTAGAGGTGTTACAAGAGAGTAACAAACACAGAAAAGAAGTAGGAGAGATCAGGACGATAGATGTTTGATAGAAAAGAAGGAGCAAACCACACCAAAGGACCCGCCAACCACCTGCAATTTAGAATTTAAAACTGGACAAAATATTTCTTGAGCACGACATGCAAAAGATAACAAAACTGCAAAACAAAATGATTTCTAAAAATATTGGGCTCGATCCGTCTGAATAGCTGGCTGACAATTCACTTTTCTTCCTCCGCATTGTGGCGTCGGTAGCCTAGTGGTTAGGCTACCGGACTCGCAATCGTGAGACTGTGGGTTCGGGGGTTCGAGCCTCAGCTAGGTCCAACGTTGTGTCTTTGGGAAAGGCACTTTATACGAATGTCCCACTTTGCTCGGTCCTTTCGGAGACGGGCGTTAAACTAGGATGCCCCGCCTCTTAAATAACCTAATAGTGTTGATAGATGCGTTAAACCCATACCATTTCGTTTCCTCGCATTCCGAATACAGATTAAGTGTACGTGTTCGCTTGGGATTTTTTTTTTAATAAAGGTTTTTTTTACTCCCCCATATACACAATTTAGATAATTTAGGAGACGGGCTTCAACCTTGCCTGTCAGGACCAACCAAGGCTGAAAAAGATGCCAAGGCTGAAAAAGATGCAACATCCCAGCAGAAAGACAGATACATTTTTTTTTAAATACTCAAATAATTTTTTTTTAAATTCTCCACACCCATGGATCGAACTCGGGTCTCCTGCCTGAACAAACGGTACATCATAGACACCTGTGGGTTAAGTGTGTAACAACACAGGAATGCAACTCAGCAATGAACACACTTACAAATTCCTTTACAAATATCTCAGAGCGCGATAGTTAGAGAACCCGGCGAACACCGGAGTCTATGGGGCAGCGGTTATGTTATACATTATATACATTTGATTATTTATGTGATCCACCGTCGCAAACAGAAAACCTGAGTCCTTTTTTTTTCTTTTTTGGATAGTATTTTGTGTATAATATTTTTCCTGTGTATAATATGGAGGAAGGGGAGTAAGAGAACTGGAAAGAAGAGCCTACTGTT